GCCATGAAGTGTTAGCGCGAAAAGGCCTCTAGTAAAATTTTCCGTAGACTAATTTTATAGAACAGATCAATCCTCTGACGGACTTTAAAATTAGTGCTGTCAATCCCAATAAAAATCATCCCAATAATTATAGTGAGAAATTATCGCAATACTGAGCTGGATAACCCAAGAAAATACGACTATGTTCTTAAAGTATATATAACCGGTAATAAAACACTATGGAATTGCAAAAGTTAGCTCGTATTTTTTTATTCCCTATTAAAGTTTTGATGTCCCGGCCTCAGTAGTTTTCAAAAAAGTAGAAAAGATGGGTAAAATAAATGTGTGAGTGAAATTAAAGGTTAAGACATATTTGTACGTATAATAAAATTGCACGGGAAATATTTTCGTAGAACAGTTTAACCCATTAGCCTGAAAGGGTCGTTTTAACCTTTACTTCAAAAGCAAATTTGTTAAATTCTGTCAGGATCATATCGTTGTAGCTGCATTTGCGTATAAAATTTGTATCCGGATCCCGACCACTGTCCAAGAAAACACAGCTAATATTAGCAAAGTCGGGTTGGTTTGAATTTCTATAAAATTGTCGCACAGTGTTATACATAAGTCTCGAATAAGATCAACGACAGCATCAAATGTTTCCGATCCTACAAAGGACAGGTAAAGAATCTTACATTTTAGCTTGAAATACCGTGGGCCATCTGCATACGGGTATTACAGGTTTAGTACCTGGTTCTAAATTGCTGCACCTGCTCTGTCCTCCATCCTTTGAACCGTTTGAGTACGAATGTATGGACATGGGTGTACGCAGATACTTTTTTCCTATACAAAAAATAGATTGTAACCGAAAATTTAATAATTTTTACTCAATCATATCGGTAATTTACTTAAAAAAAAGTAAAATTATTATCTCTTAATATTTTCTACTTAGTTTGTACTTGTGATTTAGGTTTATGTATGCTTACTGCCCGTCTCCACACCGCTCATTGCTCTTCAAGAGCAATATATATCAGAGCTTATATCTCGCCATCTATTGCCGGCAATCTGGCAGTTTGACAGCTACATTTTCATTTGCACGAAAACTTCGTGGCTGCAACATCATTATTATTTTAATATAAAAGCAAAAATTTAGCTGTTTCCTGTTAAAACATTTGTAATTATGTACTTGGATGTAAAATAGCCTATTTTCTAAATTTTTTAAGCGATTAAATCCGACAAAAATACATTTTCAAACCTATCTTACAAATGCTTATATCAAGATATAAAAAGCCCACACAAATATTGCCACAGATATAACTTATATCTAGCGACCAAAATGACAGCTGCGCAGGAATAAATTGTATCCTGTGGAGACGGCCAGTTAGCGTTCACAAAGGTTTTATAGGAAAAACATAAATGAAATCCCCACTAAAACAATTTAACGATTTGCAAAAGACCCTGAAAGACTATTGTTTAAATAAACAAGTAATTTTTTAGCCAAAAAAGCAAAGCCGACTTCAATTATTAGGAAAAACTTTATGATCCAATAATCGTATCTAAACCAAATTAGGCTGGGACCACTTCTGAGGTACCACCTTTCATTTAAAAAACGAAGGATCGAAATCTGTTATGCGGTAACATACATAAAAAAAAAATATTCCGACGAATAGATAACCTCCTCCTTTTTTGAAGTCGGTTAAAAATAATAGAAAAATTACAATTTTGGTTTGAGGACGAAGTCGTATTTTAAATTAAGGTAACTAACAATTATTTATTTTAACTCTTCAATAAGTTTATAATCAGCCTTATCATGCTTTTCTTTCCCCCGAAGCGGTTCCCATATATTCAACCTTATCCTGAGTTTGCCCGAAAAAAGTTCACCTAAAAAATTTTCTTCCGGCCATAGAAAATACATGAAATGAAACTCATGATATAACCCTGATTTATTTTGGGCGGATGAAAAATTTTAAATTCCTTTGTAGGGCTCGGTACAACTCAATTGTTACAATAACAAGCAATTTTTAAGCAAAAAATCCAACCGACTTCAATTCTTATATAAAAATTTAGAAGTATCGTTCATTTCTTCATGAATCATGATCCAATGATCGGATCTAAACCAAATTAATATGGGACCACCCCTGAGGCACCGCCTTTCCGATAGAAAATTAGAATTATCGATATCGGTTGATGTGGCCAAAAGTTATGCGTTAACATACATAAAAAAAATATTCCGATGAATTGATAACCTTATCCCTTTTTTGAAGTCGGTTAAAAATGAAAAATTCATGAGATAAATTATTATAAATGTTTTGATAGCTATATTTTAAAATTTCTAATAATATTTACATTACAAATACTCTGGAAATGAAGATCGAGAATAAAATTAATATTAAGCTTAAAGGCCACATTAGAGGTGCCATAATCATAACGCCTTACGGCGATAAACTAAAATAAAATAGATACCTGCGGTTATGGTTATGGCTCTGGCGTTATAATATAGCACCAATAATCGTTTACAGAGCTGCGCGTACGTTTTATCAACATTTAATTGCTATGGTTATGGTTATGGCTATGGTATGGCACCACTAATTCAGCCTTAAGACTGCGCCAAATCTTTAAATAACTTCAAAATCCATATTTAAAGTAACAACTTATAACAAAGAACGTAGATAACAAGGAGGGACAACTCGTTATAATTGTAGCGAAAGTGAGTAACAGGGGCGTGTCTTTTCTTTTTATCGAATAAAAAAACATACTGGAGCAAAAGAGGAGGCACGTTCTGTTAGTCACTTTCGGCACAATTATAACGAGTGGCCCCTACTTGTTCTCTGCGTTCTTTGGTTAGATCAGATTTCAGCAGTATCTATTACCACGATTATACGTAAGCTATTTGCAAATAAAAATAATTTGCAAATACCTAACTCACTATTAATTCGACGGTGAAAAATTTGTATTTAATATTGCCGGATTATAAAAAGGCAATAATATGACCATCGAAAAAAAAAATAAAATTAAAAATGGCAACGTCTTGATTATAAAAAGGCAATAAGATGTACATCGAAAAAGAAAATAAACCTAAAAATGGCGGCGTCTCGCGCTCTTTGCAAATACTATCACTAATCAATACTTATTTGCGTTATTTAGTTATTTGCAAATTAAAAATTAACTCAGCGTCTATACGGCAAAGTTTACCATTTTGCAAATTGTTATTTGCAAATAAGACGTGTGTATAAACGCAGTATATGTCTAGATTCACACAAAGAAACTTTTGTTGCCCATTTTCGGCAACTTCTCTTTTAGTGTTGCCCTTCGCGTTCACACAGAGCATTTCCTTTGTACCCAATTGTTGTTGTCAGCTGTGAACTGCCAACTAGAATTACTCAGACGAACGAGAGCACAAAGCGTGTTGCCCGAGCACGAGCAACTCAGTGCTCTTCCGCCTTCCTCCCGTCACTCCCTCTCCCACAAGTAACGAGTTGCCGCGACAAAAGTAGCCCCGTCTGAACCCAGACCAAGGCGTATTTAACAAGGTGGTGTTGGCCGTATATAAGTAAAAAATTACACTAACAAATTATACGCTGATGTCCATACTGTCATTGGTATGAGTTACAACAAACACATCATTTTGACGTAATGGCCTCCACGGCGAAAAACTCAGCTGTCGCCCCAACACCACCTTGTTTAATACACCTTGACCCAGACTATTCAACTTACAAATAGGAAGAGGTCAAAGCAATCTGATTTTCGTTTACTTTTCACTTTTCGCTTAAAAATGGTTGTAGTACGTGTTTATCGAGTATTATGAGTAATGGTGTCTATTCTTTTTTAGAGTATTCTAAATGAGTACTAGCAAAAGTGAATAACAGGGACGTGCCTTCTCTTTTGCTCTAGTATGTTTTTTAATTGGATGAAAAGAGAAGACACGTCCCTGTTAGTCACTTTCGCTACAATTATAACGAGTTGTCCTTCTTGTTATCTACGTTCTTTGGTACTAGTATCGATATTTTTTGAAAAAGTTCAATCACTGCCTCTCAGTGTGAACTCTTCCAAAACAGCTGTTGCTATTCAAAGCCGAACATGAATAGCCTTTAATTTTTTGATGATACACAACTCAAGCTGGAAAAAATTAACAATTAATTACTAATTTTAATAGTTTTACATTTCTTAGGTGCAATCCCGTATTCCTCGGACTCGGACTAGTTAAACTGTCAAAAAATAAATATTCGCTCAGAGCGAGAGAGTAACATTGTAAAGTACGGGATCGCTTTCTAGTAAAAAATTGTAACTTCTGTCAACTTCAACATAACCTCCAAATTTTGGTTGTAAACTTTTGCTTGGTTTGTATATAAACACACTCGGCTCACACATGTAAATAACCAAAAATACTTTCAAATTCATTAGAATCCACTTAAACAAGTAATTAAATACTTTTCAACATGAATTAGCAGAGTGCAATTTTCTTTTGTTTACAATTTGGTTGCCAAACACACTACAGCTGATCGTTTGACACATTTACCAGAATTTACCAGCAAAAAATTCTCGGACTAAAGAGCGAAATACACCACACAAGCGGTTTGACAAACCAAGCGAAATTTCCCTTTGCTTCAAGCCATTTGTGCTGTGTATGGGGGTGTTTGAAGGTTTGACAAACCGCCGTCAAACCTTCAAACACCCCCATACACAGCACAAATGGCTTGAAGCAAAGGGAAATTTCGCTTGGTTTGTCAAACCGCTTGTGTGGTGTATTTCGCTCTTAAAACTGGTAACTTCTGACATAGAGAGAACCGTATTTACTCTCTTTTTTTGTCCTCTCAATAGTCAGAGAACCGAGTACGGGATCGATTTCCAGTAAAATCTGACTGATTCTGACTATTTCTGACTAATCCGGACTCGTACGGGATCGCAACTCTTATTTGGCATTGCTATAAAAATAAGCGTTTCTTCTTATTTGATTAATTTCATTTCTTAGTGAAGTCCCAACCCAGCCATGCGATTATTCTCTGCTTCTTCTTTAATTTGACAGCTGTCAAGGGCTATAGGAATTATTTTTTTGACAGCCAAAACGCTCAATTTGTGGTACACTATCGAATTCTCGCCCTTTTAATTAAGGAAAATCGTGCAAAATTTGTGTAAAATTTCCGGGAAAATTGTGAAAAAAACTTGTAGCGCATTTCTGACGCTGCTTTAAAAATATTGTTTTTTCGACTTCTCTAGTAATTACTGTATGAGGCGATTGCGGACTTCAACGAAGGCGCAGACGGCTGTGACAGGGTCAGGTACATCGACGACGGCGAAAGGTGGAAGCGGTGGTGTTGGTGGTGCCAGTAGCGGTGTATCTACAACAGGAATAACGCCGTATGCGGACAGAAAAAGTGCACATAACACAAGCAGTTTCATTGAAAGTGGTGATAGTGCCTTGACAACCAACAACCGTACGGGTGCTCCAGGAGCCCTAGACGCTGCAGCCGCCGCCACCACCACCTTTGCAACATCAGCGAGCACTGCAACAGCTGCGGGACGCCTAAGACACATCATGATGGACGTAAAGCTCAGTGCGGATGTATTTAAAAACTTTGAAAAGACGGGGAAGAGTGAATTGTATGTGACCGGAAATAATGAAAGGAGTGATATGCGTTTACTACAACATTGCTTAAACGAAAAAATTTTTATTTTAGTTTGAAGTTCTTAAAACAACAAGTGAAGGAAAATGATAATCCGATTTTTGGGAAAAATGACGAGTTCAAATTTGGGATATCTAGGGCAATCTACGATCTACTATGGCATGGATTACGCTGCACGTTGAAGAAAGATACAGTGCTGAATACTTTGGCAGATGTTGTGGTGAGTAAATTAGTGCGAACATGTGCATGCGCTGATTTTTTTTTTGAAGAAAATCATATCAAGGACTAATATTCAATACCTTCTTATCTGCAAATTTCACAAAATGTAGTTTCTGGCTCTTGATCCAGCTATGCTGACCAAAGTATTTTCGCGCAGAACTTCTTTCTGTGTAGGCGGCCTTCGGCCCCGCTTAGGGATTATAACCCCCAGATATTAGAAGGATATTAACATGAGGTGTGCACTGCGACCTGTTGTTGTTGTCATCTATTGTGCCCTCTTCTCTTCACATCACTTCATGTAAGCCCAGATCCTTCAAAAAGTACAATAGCGCCTTTGGGGGTAGGGAGTGGATGTGTTCAAGCTGTGGCCACATCGAGCCTAGACTCCTCCCACGTCTTCTGCAGACTGCATCACACTCGGTGGTCAAGTCGCCGAACCTGCGAACATCATTAGACCATATGCCTCTTTTGGGAGGTTTATTAAGCTTTGGAATCTCTTCTTGTTAAATCCTCCCAGTAAACTCTTTGCCTGGCGCATTCCTCTTGCACCGCTAACCTGATGTTATTGTGTCTGCCAAAGCTGTTTAGCTTCTTAATGCACTCAAGGACCAACGAAGATTTGACTGCGTAGGATAGAAGAGCGCTGATTGCCGCCTGACTATCGTTCAGCATTATAATTCTCTCATTTCTGTACCCTCTACCCTCATGATTGTCTCCGCACATAGAAAGATGGCATAGACTTCTGCTGGGAAAATGCTCGGATATTTCTCCATAGAAACAGACATTCTGGTTCTGGACGTAAATATTCCAGCCCCTACTCCTTCTGGGGTCTTCAAGCCATCTGTGCAGCAGTGCAGTGTGCAACCCGGAAGTAATCTCTCGAAGGCGGTGATAGCTATATTTTAAATCTCTTCTCAAATACTATGATTTCTCCCATATCATCTCTAGGGAAAATAGCAAGCGGGAGAGGGGACCCTAGCTTCTCCATATTCATAGAGGATATGACCTTACCTTTTCCACATCCCTCTCTATCAAAGCAAAGCAGAGTTCTTTTGGCTACCTGCTCTATGGTTATGTGAAAAGGCTCGAGGTCGAGGACTACTTCTAGCGCTATCGTCGGACATGTACGCATCGCTTCATTTTTATTTATTAATTTTAATAAATTTTTTTTTAGGAACGAAAATCCTTAAACTCAAAGTTTTAAACTCTGTACAAAATTTATAATAATTCGACAAATTTGGGAAAAACGGTCATCAAAATTTCAAACATTTTAATCGGAATTTCTCCTTGATTTTTGAGAATTTTTTTGCTAACGATGCTACGCATTTTCTTCCATACAAAGTATGTTCGAAAATTGTTTGTTGTTGTTTTGTTTTTGTTTGTTGTTGTTAAAAAATAAATGGTCAGAACTTCTAAAGACAAATCGTTTTTAATTATCTAGTAACCAGTATATTTTCACTGATATTGGGGAAAAACAACAAAAACTTACAATCAGCGGAGGTAAAAGTAAAATTTTAATTTGAAACCCGTTAGAGCTTAATAAAAAACTACTTAAGAACTCTGAACGTCCACTGCATCAGACTCTCAATTTTTTTGAAAGTTGTAGGGTATTGAATATAAGTCCAAGATATGTACGTTAAGATGGAAGCTTTAATATTTCTTGTCTTATCACCGTAGGCACTGCATACTGATTTTCCATCCGTTATTCTGGACATTGTGAATATATTGGATGCAGAAACTTCACTAATGACCGATGGCATACAGGAGGAGCGTCTCATGTTCAGTCAGATTGTAAAAGATCTCGACAAAGTGATCTCGGATAAGTTGATAAAGGAGCGTTTAGAAATAGACACCCTGCAGGATGTAGGAATCGTAAAGAATAAGGTGTTCTACACGAAATTTATCAAAATAAAAACTAAGCTTTAGTGAGTATGATACCGTTATAGAGTGTGTGTATTTAATTCATATTTATCCAATGCATTCAGTTATAAACAACGCCGCTTTAATCTCTTTCGCGAGGAGAGTGAAGGCTACGCCAAGCTAATAACTGAGTTAAATCAGGATTTTGAGGAAGGCGTGACTGCAACAAGCATAATGGATATCATTAAATCACTCATAGGTACATGAAATAAAAAAATGTACAATACAATTATAAAACAAAAATCATCCTTACTTAAATACAGGCTGCTTCAATTTGGATCCCAATCGTGTACTTGATATAATAATTGAATCATTTGAGACACGCCCAGAACGAAGGCATCTTTTTATACCATTGCTACGTGCGTACATGCCAACTGGTTCAATTATATGTGAAGTACTCGGTTATAAGTTTCGTTACTTCGCTGAAACGCGAACGCCACGATCACTTTTCCACGTTTGTTCGCTGTTGTTAAAGTACGGTGTCATTGAGCTTCATGATATCTATCAATGGGTGTGTAAAATTTCATATTTTTTAGATAGAATGTGGCACCATTAGTTTTATTTTTTTTATTTATTTATTTAGCTCACACCTGTCGATAAAACTATAATTAGCGAATGGGAGAGCGACCTCACCGAGGCAAAAGAATTTGTGCGTAAATTGAATATAATTGTAACGAATAAGGATAAGGAACATGTCGAGCCCGAAATGGAGAAGCCATATGATGAGGTAACTTGTTTTGAAAAACAAATGTAAAACAAATTCGCTAACCGCTCTCTAACTATGTAGGAAAAATACTATGCTAATCAAAAATTCGGTTTGTGTGAGGGATTACTCAGAGTAGGTGATTGGGAAAACGCCTTGAAGATTATCAAAAAATTACCTGAGCAATCGGTTATAGTACATGAACCTATCGCACGTGCGCTCGCCGAACTTATACACATTTCCATTGATTATGTGTACACAGAGAAATGCTTCAAAGCTAATATGCGTCGTACAAAATTGAGTGATGACAAAAAACTGCTTCAAAAATTGCAAGCACGTGAATTTTCTCAAATGCGCAACTACACCATACCAATGGTGATTGCACTTGGACCCGCCTTGCATTTCGATACAGTGCTTATGTATAAACTTATACGCATTTTACGCACAATAATGACCGACATGGGTGTGGATAGTCTAAATGCTCCTACACCGAATACTGAATCGGAAACGCTCTACTTTGAGGTGATGACTATTATGGACGCAGCCATATTGCCAGCGCTTTCCTATCTTGACTGTAACTGTCCAATGGCTGAAGAGATTTGGACCGTGTTGAAATTCTTTCCATACCACTTTCGGTAAATGATATTTCATTTATAGTTTTAAAGTATTTTGCCAAGTTTTCTTTTTGTTTTGTTTTGCGGAACAGCTATAGTTTATATGCCCGTTGGAAGAACGACACATATCAAGTGCATCCACTTCTAATAAGACGCCGAGGTTTGGCACACAAAAATATAAAAGCGCTGATGAAGCGCGTCAGTAAGGAGAATGTGAAGCCAGTGGGACGTCTGATTGGCAAACATAGTCATTGCGCGCCAGGCTTCCTCTTTGACTATGTACGTTTTAAATTAACTTAACCCCAATAACTTAAAATGACGTAAAGTATTTTCGCTTGTAGATCTTAATGCAAATTCAAATCTATGATAACTTAATTGGTCCTGTCGTGGATTCATTAAAATATCTCACATCTCTTTCGTTTGACTGTTTGGGTTATTGTCTCATTGAGGCGCTAGCCATGGCTGATAGGGATCGTTTCAAGCACGATGGCACTTCGATTTCACTGTGGCTACAAAGTTTAGCTTCCTTTTGTGGTGCAATCTTTAAAAAGTATAACATCGAACTGAGTGGCCTGTTGCAATATGTAGCTAACCAATTGAAATCGCAAAAGAGGTTTGTATTAAAATAAATCAATTTAATAAAGAATATGTTGAATTCATTTTTAACGCGCTTGTAAACAGCTTGGATCTGCTAATCTTAAAGGAAATTGTGCAAAAAATGGCCGGAGTCGAATCGGCTGAAGAAATGACTAATGAGCATTTGAATGCCATGTGCGGTGGTGAATTGCTCCGCGGCGAGGTGTGTGCTAAATGCTCCTTTGAAGCTAACACCTTTTTATGTAGTAAATAACAAAAATTTTTGTTTCAACTTTCAGGCCGGCTACTTTAGCCAAGTGCGTAATACGAAGAAATCTTCACAGCGCCTGAAGGATGCGCTCGCCAACAACGACTTAGCTGTCGCCATTTGCTTGCTTATGGCACAGCAAAAACATTGCGTAATCTATCGTGAAACGGCGCAAAGCCATTTGAAACTTGTTGGCAAGCTTTACGATCAATGCCAGGATACTTTAGTACAATTTGGAACATTCCTTGGTTCCACCTACTCGGTGGATGAATATGTCGAACGTTTGCCATCGATCATTGCCATGTTGCAAGAGTATCACATCAATGCAGATGTGGCCTTCTTCTTGGCACGTCCAATGTTTACGCATCAAATTAATGTAAATGCATGAGACAAAGAATTTTCTAGAGTAATTTTAAGCTAATTTAGTTTTATTCAACAGCAAAAGTACGATCAGTTACGCAAGGCTGATCCCAATGCCAAAAAATTGACAACTAATCAAAAATTACAAAAATATCTGGAAGCCACTAATTTAATTATGAATCCGATTGTGGAATCAGTGCGTCCATTGCATGGTCCAAAAGTGTGGGAGGATATTAGTCCACAGTTTTTGGTGACCTTCTGGTCGCTTAGTATGTATGATTTGCAAGTGCCCGCCGATAGTTATCAGAAGGAAATATCCAAGTTGAAACAACTTTCACTACAAGCTGCAGACTCAAAGGATTCGGTATTTTTGCGAAAATAATTGTAATATAATAATTTCAATCCATCGAGCAAAATATTTTCTTACAGAATGCCTCAAAGAATAAGAAAGAGCAGGAACGTTACATTGCTTTGATGGATAAATTGCAGGATGAGCGCAAAAAACAGCAGGAGCATGTTGATAAGATTTTACAACGTTTGCAACAACAAAAGGACAACTGGTTTCTATCGCGTTCTGCCAAATCAGCAAAAAATGAAACCATAACACAATTCCTGCAGTTGTGTCTCTTTCCAAGGTAACGATTTATGCATTCAAAGAAGGAACTTATTTTTCACACAATTTACTAAACAGGTGCACCTTTACTGCCCTCGATGCCCTCTACTGCGCTAAATTCGTACACACCATACATAATTTAAAAGCTGCTAATTTCTCCACACTCCTATGCTACGATCGGGTGAGTCAGTGGTTTTCCTACAACTATTCCTAAACCTTAAGTCATCAAAACTGTTCTTAGATATTTTGCGACATCACCTACTCCGTGACGTCCTGCACCGAAAACGAGGCCACCCGCTATGGTCGCTTTCTCTGTGCCATGCTGGAAACCGTAATGCGTTGGCATGCCGATCAGGCTGTTTTCAATAAGGAATGTGCCAACTATCCTGGCTTTGTTACCAAATTCCGTGTCAGCAATCAATTTTCCGAGGCAAACGATCATGTTGGCTATGAAAACTATCGTCATGTCTGTCATAAATGGCATTATAAAATTACCAAAGCAATCGTATTCTGTTTGGACTCTAAAGACTATATGCAAATACGTAACGCACTTATCATTCTCATGCGCATACTACCGCATTATCCAGTACTGGCTAAACTTGCCCAAATCATTGAAAGAAAAGTGGAGAAAGTGCGTGAAGAAGAGAAAAGTAAGCGTCCCGATTTGTTTGTGATTGCCTCAAGTTATATTGGACAGCTAAAAACGAAGGCTGCACAGATGATAAAGGAAAGCGATTTTCATCAGGTTACTGAGCGACAGTTGCGTGTTGAATCGGCTACTGCGACAGCAACGGTTGCAACAGCCGCTTCAGCCACTGTACCATTGGCTAGCGCAGGCACGCAAGCTAGTGTGGTCACTGCAGCAACGACCAATAATGTAACAGCGATAACGAATATAATTAACTTGGTAGAAACTACTCCCAAACCAGCGCCAGTAGTGCAGCAAATACCCACTGCACAACATGAAACAACGCCCGTTTTGGCAAAGCAAGTGAGCAACGGCGATGTGAAGAGTGGTAAGTTCTATGAGTGCTACTTACATACTATTTGAATGGTTAAAATAATAAACACTTTACAGCGGAAAAACGCGAAAAAGAAAAAGCCCCAAAGCAGGTCATTAAAATGGATCGCGAGCCTGTGACAAGCATTGCTTCAAGCAATGAGTTGGAAACGAGATCCACCACTTCAATTGTGATCAACGATCGCAGCGAACACAGTGAACGGCGTAGTAGCAGCCGTTCATTGAAGGACGTCAAGAAGGAGGAACGTACACGTGAACGCGAACGCGAGCGTGAGCGTGAGCGTGAACGGGAGCGGGAACGCGAAAAAGAACGTGAGCGCGAGCAAAGAGAGAGGGAGCGTGAGAAGGAACGTGAAAGGGAACGCGAACGTGAACGTGAGCGTGAGCGTGAATTGCGAGAGTTGCGTGAACGAGAGCGTGAGCGTGAACATCGCAGTCATAATGATGAATTGGAGCTGTCCGGCGGCGGTGGTGCTGGAGGCGGTGGTGGCGTCGGTAGCAGTGTGACTAGTGGCAGTAATACGATAATTTCCACACGTTCCAAACGCGAAAAGCGACGTGGTGAAGAACGTTACCGCTTGGAATCACCAGCTGTAGAACATATTGAGATAGTGGAAAACAAGCATGAGCATCATGAATACGAGCGCGAACGCGAACGTGACCGAGAGAGGGAACGAGAGCGTGAACGTGCTAGGGATTTAAGTTCGGTATCGAATGAGAGCAACGGATCGTCGATGCATCGACGCAGTCAGGATGTTATTGAATATGAAAAAGGTAAGAGATGGCCGCAAATAGGTTATCAACTTATTTTAGTCTGATTTTATTGTAATGCTATGTGCTAATTTTGTACAACTTTCTTCACAGATACGAAACGCCGCAAAGTGGAATCGTCGACAACTTCTTCGTCAAACTCAAAGGTTAGTATTTTGGTGCAAACGTAGTTGCTAAGACAAAGAGAGAGAGAGAGGGAGGCGGCCTTTATGTGGAGACGCAGCAGAAGGGTCAAATAAAGACAACTAAATCGACATTACAGTTGTGTATAATAGAAATGCTAAACACAACAGCAAATTACCACTGCCACAACTTTGTGATACTAGCGCGTTTAACAACTACAACAACAAAAACAGCAACAGTAACTGGTAGTGATGTTAGCAAACGAATTGAAGAGCAGAAACAAAGCAAAACCTAAAAAAAAAATGTTATCAATAACAAATCAGCTTTAAACTACTGTGGACAGCAAACAAAAAAAAAAATCAAAAAATAATTGTAATCCATTTGCGTCAATCAAACGAAGCAGCGCATCCATAAGTAAACAGTCGATTTTAAAAGCACACGCGAGGCTTTGTGAATAAATCAACACCTTAAAGTGAAAATAAGTCTTGCCATTGATGCAAATAAATACCACCGCGCGCGCACACATGCTCAAGAGGAGTAGACACTGTAGATTTTGATGCTGTAGATTAATTTATTTGTATGAAATTTAACTTGTTTCTATATTTTGAGGGTTAGCATATGTGATTTTTTTTGTATGAATATGGACCTTTTGAGGTTTTGAAAATTATTAAGAATTTAGCGAATTTAGTTTAAGAAATTATGAGCATCTAAATTAAAAAAAAAAAAGAATTATGGAACTGTTACACAAATTTAGGTTGTAGGTTATATAATGTATAGAAAAAGAATTATAAAAGTAATGTACTAAATGTGTAATATATATGTACATACATACATTTGCATACACACTTTTTTTTGTAAAAACTTGAAGGCGCATTCAAATGTGATAATATTAACAGATACTGTTTAAAACAAATTGAGTCAAAAACTTCAGGAATTTCTTAATTATAACAAACCTCTTACTTAAGCATATTACCTAGTCAATAAGTATTATTAAAGTATCGACGAAATGTACTTGTTTCTGTGACAAATTTGAAAAGCAACACGAAAATTCGCACGACGCCTTCCATAACTGCCAGAGCGACAGTGGACTACTGCAAGCTGAAAGGATGTGTTATCCATTAATTATATGCAACGCACTGCATGCAATCATTCAGTAATAAGATTTGGCGTCCACCTCGAGGATATACAGCGGCGTATTAAACAATTCGACGCCAGCAAAATGTATCGGAGAGAATATGAAACCATGAAAAATCCACGCTTAAAACATTCAAAGGGAACTAAAACAACTAAAGGAACTTTTTCTTGGCTAGAAATCTTGCGATTGCTGAATGAAAATTGAGGCGGAGAAACCCGCCTTAGGACCTTGACTTCAGCTCATTAGCGGCAAAAATCGAATGGTTTGCGGCAACGCGGGCGTACACTGATTTTGAAGCATTTCCAAACACTACAATGAAAGGAAACTTTATTTTAAGAGAACCGTCGAGGGGAACTAAACAAATTGCCAGGGTTAATGATTGCCATGGACTTCAACGAGGACCTTGAACCAGACAGGAGGAATATAAATAATAAATCAACTTTAACTATCCTAAGAGGTTAATTAATCCGAAATAAAAGAGTAATAAAAGAACTTCCGACAACTACTCACGTCCATAAAGACTTAGGGAATAACTTAAATCATTCCGTCCACATATCACCGACATCCATACTCATTGAGGGAAGAACGAATAGCTAGCTATCTATACGCAAATACTCGGCACATCAAACTGAATCGAATTCACCTTCTCCAACTCGAATATATTTTCAACACATCAAATAATAAACTTCATTTGTCACTTCTGCTGAAACAACAACAACAACAAACATAACAATAATTTGGATCCCTTAAAAAACATTCAAGTCTTGTATGAGCTCGTAGTCTTTATTAAAATTCAAGAGGCTACGTAGTTCATACGGTGCTTGTCTGCAAATTGCTTTCCTCGGTTTTTACCTCACCACTCAATCTACCGATAGACGATCATCAGCTGACAATTTTAAGAAGAATCGCTATAATCCAGCCGTCAGAGGGGAATACACATTTTCAACATACTTGGAGTTTCTTACACCAGAAGGCAATAAATAACAATTGGAACACATCAACTGCTGTGCATATGAGGGTAAAACGCTACTTCGGCCATTATTCAACAGAATTAGTCGCAACTTTCAGCTCAGCTTACAACTGGGAGCAAGGAAGAGACTTTGAGCATCTGCAGAACATCAGACTACTGTTACTTTGGAAACGTTTAAAGAGAGCTGCTGATTAAATAAATGAAAAGGCACTGCGAGGAAACAATGGATACGACTTTGGACGACGACAACGGGATTTAGTTATAGCGTTAGAAGCAGTAAAATGGTATTCCGCAATTGAATAGCATCTAAAAGGAACCGATTCGCAAGCTGGAAACCTGCCGTTCCATAATATATCTATTCTAAATACACAACAGCGAAGATTTTACTCAATACAACCATTCCTGGGACAACAAAAAAGTTTGGCGGAGCTGTTGAAAGCAGTTGGAGTATTAAAATTTTGGGGAGTCTTTAATCACTCGTCACTTTTCTTGCGGTAAATCTTCATTTAGCATGCTGTAACGGAGCTAAGGAGACACAAACAATCAACACCAAAGAAAAGCTGAATTGTACGCATCTAATAGAAAATACCTTTGGAACGCAGCACCAAACGACTACTCTGACGCAGCTTTAATTTCTAATCTTATTTGAAAACCAGTTGTATATTTTCTACTATTCAAATCAACGAAGGGAAATCACAACTAGCCGATTGAGGCAGGAGTCGGTAGTGCGGCTACAACAGCTAGTTTGGACCTGCAAGTACAGAAAATACTAAAAATCGATCGACTTGCCCGAACCCATCAATATCCACATTTCTTTTCTAAACACTTTGTGAGGTGTCTTTCTTTCCGTTGCCTGCATTTCCAATTCTTCTTATGCTGTTTTGTTGTTTTGTCGTTGGTCATAAGCGAGCTGAAGTGATCGAATGGTTGGTAAGTGGGTAGGGGGTGGGTGAAAAGTGTAATTGAAAAACATATTAAGTTAGAAGCAAAATGAGTAAAACATAAATAAGCTATTTACTAATAATGCAAATTAGCCACGCATAGGTTTATATATAACTAACAAACCTGTAGAACAAAAAAAACACGATCAAAACACCAACACGCAGTAGTACGTCGAGATTTGCGGTGCGCTATAGAAATATGATTTAATTTATATTTGTCTAATTGCAGAAACAGGTTATAGATGATTTGGTTGAGAGTACAAAGAAAGATCGTGGTGTTAAGAATAAAGAACGCAAAGAAAAGCTAACCGAAGAGGAGAAGGATGCACGTAAAGAACGAAAATTGGGACGCAAACGCGAACGACTCGAGGAGAGCTCCAACACAGAGCATAAGCGGCGAAGGGAAGGTAGGCAGGCGTTGATCAACAATACATATTTTTCCCTGCAACTCTAGCGCAAATTTTCTTCATCTTCTTTTCAGTGCAAAATGGCGATGATGATTTGCGTGAACGCGATAAATATCATACGAGGGTAACTAGCTTTTGTACATACATATATGTTTTCCATTGTGAACTGTTTTACACATATTTTATCAATTCGACATTTATAGGAAAAGTCGCCCCACTTGCGCAGCGAGACCCGTGAACGTTCGCATGAAAAATTCGAGCGTGATCGCAGCACACGTGAGGATCGTTTGTATGGCACTTCAAAGTCGGCGCGTTCGCGCATAGGCTACTAAATGGTCGAAGCAGCAGTAGCAGCAAGCGTTCTACAAGTTTTGGTTTTTTTTTTTTAAACTAGAATAGTGACAGCGATAAACCAATCCAGCTAATCAACAACCATAAATCATCAAATACAGCAAAAACAATAACTTCAAATTAATTACTTATACATACATGTGCATACATTTTAATTATATGAAAGCAAAAAGGCAAAGAAGAAAACAAAAATATCAAAGCAAACCATTAAAATTTAACTACAGAAAACATTTAATTTAATTATAATAATTATTTTACTACATTCGTTTTTAAGTTTTAAGTAAACTTTTATTTGTATGTAGTTTGGAATTCAAGTTTAACGATTTCAAAATGAAATACATAATAAATGCCACCAATTCAGTTACTCAATAGTCCACTGTTGTAAGATTATTTGTTTAAAATGTCAACAAAAATTAAAGTGATTGTAAAAAAAAAAAAAATTATAGTAGAAAAGGACAAGAGACGTGTGTTTACACTAAATAAAGTTGAATTTTCGTATGAAAATGCTTTAGATATAAAATTAAAAATACGGCTTTTTATTTCATAAAATATTGATATTTAGTTTTATATAGCCGCTAATGTAAAGGACTGAATTGATTTATATCTGGCTAAGGACTATCACTCCAGCATCGTTCTCCTCAAACTCTGGGGAATTTGTATGCTGTTACAACAACAGCAGCAACGACGACAACAAAACAACAACAACTAAACAACAACAACAACAACAACCAACAACAACAACCAACAACAACAACCAACAACAACAACAACAACCAACAACAACAACAACAACAACAACAACAACAACAACATAACGACAACAACAACAAAATAACGACGACAACAACAACAACAACAACAACACCAACAAAACAAAACAACAACAACAACACAAAACAACAACAGCACCAACAACACAAAACAACAACAGCACCAACAACAACAACAACAACAACAACAACAGCAACGACAACAACAACAACAACAACAACAGCAACAGCAACAGGGAGTCGGTCCCGGCTTACACTGACTCTGGACCTGTGAATGTCGTTTTGGGATCACAACCATCTGACGTAGACGAGACAAACACCCCTATTGCGAGTGTCGACTAGTAGTAGGTAAACGACTATTATTCGATTATCGCTTTTCCATGGTATTGTGAACGTCATTGTCTCACATTTTTAACACATACCCAAGTGGCTCTCTCAATGCCGTTCATTTTTTCAACAAAATTTGCGTCCTCAAATAAAGTCCGAATTTGGGGTCCATTGGAAATTCGTTCTTTTTTTACTTCACATCACTTATCGCAGGAAACTTTTCCAAGTACTAGCAACAATCGTAATCTTTGTCTAGAGCTTTGACATACTGCTTTATGAGCCCCAGCTTAATATGCAGTGGTGGTAGCAAATATAAAAATAGGATCAATCAATGGTGTTCGTATATATAACATTGTGAGTACCTGAATCAAATTTTGCTCTCGTTGGCCATTTTTTCTTACAGGGCAATTCTGGCAATTGTCGTTCAACTCACCACAGCAGGGCCGTAGCCAAAAATATTTTTTTATTTTCACTTTTATTTCAGCATAGATTATTTAAAAGAAAAATACTGATAAAAATAAAATATTTCACACAAATAGGGTTGAAATTCCTGTCCGTATTTGGTTTGTAGGTCAAATATTATTGGCTTTGTGCTACTCTGATAGCACGGCCAAGTAATCATAGTCAACTTATATACAGTAGTCCAAAAAAATTATAGCCGCACCAAATTTTTGGATAGGTTTTAAAATATTTTTTTGTTGTTACTTAATTTTGGTTAGTTTTTTTTATAGTACCAAACGGCGGAAAATTTTTATAATCGGACAATAACCACGCTTACATCCCATATAACGGTAATTTAGAGAAATACAAAATCTTCGGTACGCTTATAATCAAATTTTGGAAAATGGGCGTGACCCCGCCCACTTATGACCACATATGTGTATCTCGATAACCGTTCGACCAATTTGTACCAAACTCGGTAGGATTATTGTGCTTGCCACATAAACGCAAAACGTTGAAAATCATTGAAATTCGACTAGAATTACGCTCACTTTTCAATAACGGTGAATTTCAGAAATGCTTGAAACTTCGATATTTCGAAATTTAAAGACGATAACTTTACAATCCCTTGAAAAGAAGTAGCATTATTATGGAATTTTGGAAAACGGGCGTGATGCCACCCACATATATCTATATAAGTTTATCTCATTATGTCTAACTGAACGTTCTAGCGAAGATGTTTGAAATAGGCGTAAAATCACCCCTGCCTACCACGTTGCGATAGTTTTCGGAAAGGTAAAAAAAACTTTATTGAATACTTACTTAGACTTTTTTACTTGTTTATATGTGACCTGGTCTACGAAAAGGGAGCTTACGCGCGAAAACTAGTTTTCTGTTAAAAAGCTGTTAAAAGTAAGCAACTCGTTTCGTTTACTCGTTTTTACTCTTCTTTCTTTACATTTTTAGTACACTTCTAAGCAAGTTAGGATTTTCTGCTTTTCACCACGTGAAAAAGCATCTCATCTTCCATCCGAATCAACCAAAAAGTGAAAATTGATTTTTTGACACCTAAGCCCCCTTTCCGTAGACCAGGGCTCGAATCGTGACATCCGTTCACGGATCGAAAACGATACGAAAGAAAATTACGTGATACGTCAGGCAGTATAAGTTGAATGGTACGTTCGCGTATGTCATAATCCGAAAAATGTGTTTTTACGTGACGAGTAGTACGATATCGTATGTGACGATTCGAGCCCAGGTCACATATATTTAATTGGACATGCATATTTTACATAAAGGTATGTGCATAACAAAATTTAAAAATTATGTTGTCTTTTTTTGCCTTTTTTCAAAGCTCATTTTGCCTTTTTTTTCAAGTTCAAAATTCTAACCCTGGTTATTAACATCTTTTTATCGGACATGCTACATTTCGGGGAGGGAGAGGGGGGGTCAGTTTTTGTGCATTTGAAAAGAGCTTTTGAAACTGTTGATAGGGACATCCTAGTCGTAATATTTTTTTTGTATGATTTTTTGCTAAAAAATTACTTGTTAAATTTTTTTCCTGTTAAACGAATTAACTACCAAATAAATTTAAAAAATAAAAGTCATAAAAAAACTGTGTAATTATCAAAAGAGAACTGCAGTTTTTTTATTTTATTTTAAAACTCTCGTTCTATTTATTACTTGTTTTGTGTGCAAATAACAATTATTCTCATATATTAGTTATACATAATTTGTATTTATTTCTAGTTTACCATTTGTGCTTGCTCGGCTTGCTACAATAGTATGTAAACGTGTATGAATGTTTGTAGATATACTTTTAATTCGTTTTTGGGCTATTTTATTTTATTTAGTATACATATTTGTTGTTTTGTGTTGTTTTTAACTACAACAGTTAGGTATGCATCTTGTTGTTTTTTTGTTTTCATTCTAAACAACATTTACTACTAATAATAATACGCGGTACACAATGACTGGAGTTAGATGCAAAAAGTCATACATACTATTTTTGAAATTCTGTAAAACGTTATTTGTTGTACAAATGTACATTGCTATTCGTTGTAAGATCAGTGACCATATATTCGGGACCACGAATAATGAAAAGAAAAAGGGAATGACGAAGAGTACGTGCTTTTTAACGACGCACAGTGGTGCAGCCCGCCCCATATTTTGGGAAAAATTTTAAGAAGTTGGCTTAGGGCTTAAGCGAAAAATGGACGTGACTGGTGTTTTGTCCATAACTTCAAAAATGCCTTAAATGACATTAAAAGAGCACCAATAAATATAAAACTCAGAAATGTGGTACATATGTTTGTAATAATGGGCGCGGTTGGACTATTTAACGCATACTTCTCGTGCGAACTTTACCTCAAAAACGCCTTAAAAATGCTATAAATACCATCATTTGAATCAAGTTTTTTTTTCTTAATGTCGCAAATATCCCAATTTTTCAGAAATCTAAAGAAAAGATTTCGGTTTTACATATTTCTATAGCTAGAACACGAAGGTAAACCGAGGGAATAAAGTTTTTATTCATCAGATGTGTCAAAGTCGGCATTTATAAAGTATCATTTTTGTTTTTTTTTATATTTTCTCTATATTGTGACAAGATAATGCTATATGCTCATAAGTGCTATGTTCATATACAGTTCATATGAACATATAACAAAATCACTCAAAACAATAGTTATTAGAAAAACACATTGCTCAGTTGAACTAAAATCTCAATCAGCTTTTTAGCGTTCACACACAGTCAGATGCCCGATTAGCGACACGCAGTCAGCTGCTCCATTCGCTACAGTGATGGAAAAGTTCGTACAATTGTACCTTTATTCAGTTTGAAAGTACATACGGTACAAACACATTTTAGGTAAATTTGGAAGTAGTCAGGAAATCATTTTTATTCACATTTCAACTCATTCTCTGGTGTAATTTAAAAATAAAATTTTGTTTGCTCTTAATTTAAGTGGAAACATAATTATACGAATGAAATCCATAGCCGCGGCGTTATTGCTTGAAGAGGAGAACGAGTAAAATTTCGAAGATTGATCGAAAGGAAACGGAACGCAGAATACCAAAGTTGCCAAACGGAGAAAATTTCGATTCGAGTCGAAATGCAAAATAGGGCTGATGACATATTTCCTTTTAAAACGTCAGATATTTACTTTTAAGGTACATTTAGGTACCGCAGATTAGGTACAATTTGAAAATTAGACTTTTTATCCCTGATGGAATATCAGCTGTAAAAGTGGACTAGTGCTGATTGCTATTTGTTCAATAAACAAAGTCAAAACTAATCATATGCAGCAAGGTTACATGAAAAATTCATTCAATTATCACTCAATTAATTCTGTGGTAAATCGAGTTCAATTAATCAAGAAAGCTTGGCTAATCGCGCTATTAGCGGCCTGTCTGAACATACTTTTTTTATTGCTCTATAAGGCTAAACCGTTCAAATATAAGAATTGAATGTTCAAAAAACTGTATTTTTCCGCCGAAATGCAACCGCGCGACGCCTCAAAAATGCAACGATTAAGCTGGATGGAAATGTTGTCGCTCATGCATGACGGCGAAAGGATCCTTCAACTCGGCGCATGAGGGGAAAACGAAATGTAGGGCGTCCACGAGCACAAAGGAAGAAGAGTCGAAGAATTAGTCTACATTTTGCCAAAGGTCTTGGGCCAAACCGATAAAAAACGCAAGAGTCTAAAAATTCTGTATAAATTGTCATATATTTAAATTATTAAACCCGTTAGTTGTATTTCCATTTTAATAGTGCAATTCTGGCAACTGGCTTTCAACTCGCCATAGACTTTCGAAAGATAAAATTCTGACATTTTAATTCCTAGTAAAAACTAAGCAGCACTATACGCATCTTACTCCAGTTTTTATTTTCACACATTTATTGTTGTTTATTCTCTAATCGCTTTCATATAACTAAATTAATACTAACAAATTATTAGTTTTTATTTATCTAAATATTTCCTTCTAAGCTACTTTTGAGTATTTGCGAACTACCATTGCTGCTAACTTTTATAATTTTATTTCGTATTTCATTTTAAAATGTATTATATATAGCTTTGTTATTACACATTATTAAATTAACTTTTTTCATAAATGTTCTTCCAAAACTTTATTTCCATTTATTTATTTTATTATAGTGACACTTTTTTGTGGTATTATATATATAAAAAAAAACATTTGTTCTAAGGCAACTTTTAACATTGATATGAGTAGTTGTTCAATTTATGCTAACGGATTGCATGCGATTATGCTTTTTTTCGTTGGTTATGTTGGTGCTGCGGTGCAAGTGATTAACCCTGACAAAATGATATGATTTTAAATGCGTGTGGGTGGGTGGGTGGTTGGTTGTTTGGTTGGTCGCAGACGTCTCAAATGATATGTATGTATGTGTATGTAAATGTGCATAGCGTTGGTGGTAAGGTGTGCAATAATTTTTGTTTTTATTTAAATTGTTGTTTGCGTATTGAACAGCAATTAAAAAAGCTAAAATATTACGCATACGCCCTGTCGGCTGTTGTATGATGAGCAACGAACCGAATTGAACTTTTTTCACAGAACTTGATTTATTTTATTTTGATACAGTTTTTTCTTAATTAATAACAAACAACTACAATTAAAAATAGCAAAAGAAAATGCAAGCAACAGCGTGTCAAAATTATAAGCGCACCACATATTGGCAAGCTTTAACAATTATTATTTTTTTTTGGTATTTAATTTTAATAACTTTTTTATAAAAATATATTTTACCCTTTAACAAAATCTGTATACACGAGGATGCCAACTATCGACTTCTATTCGATGTCAGAATGGTGTCCAGCTAAGATCGGAAATCAGTGCGACGTGCTTAAGCTCCTCAATAACCTAGTCATATGGAAATCGTTTTTGATCGTGGCCTATGCAGGTGAGGGAGGAGCTAAAAAGCTCTTTAAAACAGCTCTGGATTGGAAAAAGGTGTTAGACGACCCGTGCTGATGTTCAACCTGGCTGGAAACCTAGACTAATAACTAACGCAGTCTCGAACGGAGTGCTCTGCATACCTGGCGATCTCCGGTTCTATCTAACCGTACCGTGCATACGGACATCTGCGTAGGCGGACCTCCATTGTCTGACACTCGTGGCATCAAAAATTATGAGTTAAATTTCTAACAAGAACTCAAATAAGGAGAGCGGTTCTCCAAAAAAAAAACTACTACTGTTATAGCCTCAGGCAAGGCAGTGAAGAGACCGCCATTGATAGGAGGTATTGGGGGCTTAAACGAGGGTAAGACGCCTGGGAAGACCGGTCTCTAATCGTTTGATGGCTGGAGCTGCGTAGTCAGCTCCGCTTAGGGTAACCCAACTTCAACCTGGCTAATGTCGGTGGTTGGCACGCTACTATAGAAAAACCCGACAGCTCAAGACAGGTCGCTAGTTCAGAACAAAGGATGGCTAAAAATGTTCGCCCCTCGAAGCAGGCTTATTACGATAAGAAAGCTTCCACTGAGGGCCTGTTTAGTATTGTGGAAGAACAGGCTAGGTCAATAAAACCGGCGGGCACTGCACCAAAGAGTCAACGATCTGCCGAAAAACAATGTTCGGAGAGGCTAACCGGTTTGGGGTCGCTATTCTACGAGGAAGAAGGCTTCTCTCCAATAACAACGAGGGTGAAGAGGTGTCGAGGAGGCAGATGCGGATGTCACGATGGTGGAGGTTGGGCGGACAGATTCGCATGAAGCTGATCCAAATAAACCCTCACCACTCTAGATGCCCATCTGCGAATTTTCTGGTACGTCTGGCTGCCGGTGGACTCTACGTTGCCCTCATACAAGAGCCATGAATACAATGCAATAAAATCTGCGTTCTCAGGATGAAGGGTTTTAAGCGGATTGTTGCAAAAGCATAGCATCAACATCTTCTTGCTTCTGAATAGCCTCTGCCTAGAAACAGCAACTGGTTATCTGCAGTAACGTGAACGCCCACAACAGGTTGTGGGGAAGCACCGACACTAACAATAGAGGTAACTAATTACTAGACTTTATTCTGGAAAACAAACTTAGTATAATAAATTTAGGCTCAGAGCCGACCTTCATAACAAAAACCAGAAAAGAAATTTTGGATATAACCCTGACTTGCGACCTAATTGCCAACAACGTTTTAAGAGATGAAGAGTTTCGAATGAAAAGTCTTACTCTGATCATCGTTATATTGAACATGAAATAGATCTTACAACTCCCCAAGTTAGCAAGTTTAGAAACATACGAAATACCGAATAGGGAGTTTACAACAATAAAATAAGGACTTAACTGCCAGAGATTCATTCCCGGGTTCCCACCACGCGTGAGGAACTGAACGGGTTGATTAACAATGTAAAGCTATGAATAGTTCTCTGGCAGCCGGATTTTCGGTGGTTTGACGCAGACGGAAAACAAAACCACCCTGGTGGACAAGGTTATTATCCTCGTTACATGAATCGAATAGGACACTGTTCAATAGGGCCAATGCCATGAGCACGTCCGAAGACTGGGGAGCCTACGATGTAGGTTAGTACGAGTGTGTGGGTCAAATTTACAAACCACTCTAGTCAGCCAAACCAACAAGTAATTTTATTGAATTTGTGACCAAAACGTATTAACTTTAACCCACTGTAAAAAGTTTGATTTCTATTTAGTACCCAAAACCTCCTTGATTTTGACTATCCCAACACGTTTGAACATTTCCATAGTTTGTTTGGACCCTAATATGGTGCATTTGTGTGTAAATTTGTAGTTTAGCTGTTAGAATGTCTTTGGTGAAATTCGCTTAGTGCTGATTTGTTTGGATTTTACGAGTTAGTTGGATTTTACGCAAATGTGATATGTACATATAAATAGTTATAGGCAGGTAGATATGTATGTAGTCGGTGCTATTTATGATATGAATGCAAATGTGCTTTATGATAGTAGCAAATATGTATGTATGTTTTTATGCTTATGGATAGGTATGTAATATGTAAATTTCGTTCTTTCCTTGAAATTCTCAAATGTGTTATTCCAATATTTATGTTACTTTCGTTAAGTACGTATTTGTTTTTTGTCATTCTACGCGCACATTCATGCATGCATCTAAAATGCTTCAATTCGAGAGCTTACGCTGCTGTTTACTTATCTATTCTGACTCATACTTATGCTTAACCCATTATACTGGTCGATGCATAACTGCCACTAATTAATGGTTCACGCGAATTGACGGATGTATTGGATGGATCCAAATGATGTGTCTCATTGGAGAGTGTAAATTCCGTTGACGTTTCGACAGAGTCATGTTGACTTTGTGTCTGTTCATGGCGACGCGGTTTGGCGGTGATTGTGGCATCTTTGCCACTTGGCGTGACGCCATCCGCATGTGAGGCTGGGTAGCTGGAAACGCGCTTAAGCGACTGATCGAGTTGATTGTGGCAATAGCAGGAAAAGTATGAGAAAAGTGAAATAAAAAAATGTTATCGAAAATATTTATAATTTAAGACGTGTGTAAATAAATTTAAAAATGATTATTATAAGAGTTGTTTAAGTACAGGCAAATGTTTGTAAAATTTAGTTGCTGAAAGTAATGAAATCTTATGCACACACTACACTCGAAAAAAATATTTCAAGGAATAATGCCTCGTTTACATTATGCAGGAAGCATGCGAATACAACTGTCATAGTGTAGCAGCCAATCCACTGTAATGTCAGTGCTTTTAGTGCCTCATACATATGTATGTACATTAGAGTGATCCAAAAGCAGTAAAGTCGGAATTTTAATTCCGCCACCTCCTAGGATTATTTTATACCGAAAAAATATAAAACAGTTTTCCACGTATTTTATATGGGGAAAAACAACTTTTCGTAGAAATGGTACAAAACGATTGAAAATCCAATATTGATATATAATTGTTTATTTAACCATTTTTCAAAACTAAAGATTTTTTATTGGTCCCACATTGCATTTTCTAGGGGTTTGGAGGACCTATAAAATATATTTGCCATGAAAAAATGGCCAAAGAAATAATTGGGTATTATTATTGGGCATCTCCTGTAGGGAAACAAAGTTTTCACATTGGAAATAACTGATTTTCAAGAATTCTATATCATTTCCATGAAAAGTTGTTTTTTCCCCATATAAAATACATGGAAAATTTTGAGCGCTTTGAGCACTCCCTAAGATTTTTTTGATTTCAAAATAAAAATATAGGGGTATATTTTTTGATATAGAACAATCCTAGGAGCGGCGGCCTTAAAATTACGACTTTGCATTTTCGCATGCATTTTTGGACCACACTAATGTACTGTATATATGTATGCAAACACTTTTTTAATTAAATCAATAAATTTTCAGGATGAAAGACCTAGACCTGTACAGTAAACCCTCCAAATTCTTAGGTAATATTTTATGGTCATATTAAGTTTGCAGTTTTTCGACTGAGTGTTTTTAGAATAAGGGGAAGAAAAGATTAAAATTCATATCGGAGCCAAATAAGTAGTTTGGGATCATATAGTAAAATTTCAGTAGGAATAATTTTGTGAAACATTTTAACCCATTAGATCCCTCACGAAAGGGTTGCTGTGACCTCTTTTTTTTGGAGAGATTGAATAAAATGGCAGCTGAGTGGTCGCTAGAGGGTTAACATTTTGTAGAAAACTATTCCTAGTGAAATTTTACTAAATGTACCCAGACTACATATTTCGCTAGGGTATGCATTTTAACGTTTTTCCCACTTATTTCACTAGTGGTATTCTCAGACACAGTACACCCCAAAAATGCTGCTACACTGTGTTATAAGTCTTTTCATATTAATTATGAGTGGGAAACAATATTTTAAGCCTTAAAGTACGGGGCTGGCTCAGGACAATTTCGAGACTTGTTCAGGACTAGCTCGTGATCATTTAGAGCCCAGTTCATTACCAGTTCGGGAGAATTTCGATACTAGTTCGCGATTTTCGAACACAATCTTTGGGATCTTATTGTACTAATTTTGTTTTATAATAAATGAAAATGAAATGAAATGAATAAAAAATCAAGTCCTGAACTAGTCTCGAAATGTCCAACGCTAGCTTGGCTCACTGGGCTATTGGCATAATGTAAACGGAGCATAATACTTATGATTACAAACAAAATTTGAAGTCTAATGATAGCTAAACGGGTTGTGATGGCCAATTAAATAGAATTTAGTAATATCTATGTTTTAGAGAAATTAATAATTTATGAAATGTTTGTCGTTATTTTTTATTTCGATGAATGCTAATTTAAATCAACTAAAGCGCTAAGTACTACTGGAAATTCAATTAGGGACGGTAATTATGATAAACTTTTACAAATTGCGTTGTATGTAAATTGAAAGATATATTCCAATCGTTTGCGTAATTGGTGACGGAAAAATCAACTTTTGGTCAGAGAACTGCTTCTGTACTAAAGTATTCTTTCAGGGCGATTTCATTCCAAAATTCAGTTTTTACCACTCTTTGAGTTTTCACGGTACAGCGTAACATCAATTCAACCAAAATGACGAAAATATGTTTAACAAAAGTATAAAAAAGCCATTACTAATTTCCGTCTCTTTTTTCTACAAATGAAAGTGGTAACTACCAAGTAAGTAACAATAACAACACTATGTGCACATACGACTTTATGTGCTGCATTCGTCCGGTTCGTTCGTTCGGTTGTACCAGTACAGTTGCTCCAATACTATCTAGTAGAAATATACAAAACCTTGTCGTTCAATGCTGCCTCAGCCGTTCCATTGGCAGTGGATATGGATTCGTTAACGGGACAGATATTCTTACTCGATGAAAACTTCTTGCGCTTCTTTTTCAAAGCGGCTATGGCAGTGAGACCTTAAGAAAAATCAAATTATTTACTCAAATAAATAACACTTGTGAAATCAACTCTGTTTTTTTTGTTTTTTTTTTACTAAGTAACTGACAAAAATAACCAAAATCAAATTGATTAATTTACCGGTTGTTGTATGAAAGAAATGCGAAGCACCGTTACCACCATTGCTGCTGACACTATTACCGCTGCCGCTATTCAAGCTGCTGCTGTGATCCTTCATGAATATGCCACCATGTATGCCGGCGCTGTGTGTCGGCGTGTGTGCATTGGCACGATGACTGCCTGTCGTAGTCGTTTCGCCACTGCTGCTCATGTAATGCTGCGCAGAATTCTGTGCATATGTGACGCGCACCTGGCCATGAACTGGCGACGAATTGGCCGAGGAATTGCACATGGAGTCTTCCGATTTGGAGCGGCCTAGCATTTTTGAGACATTTCCCACTTTGGCGGCCTCGATGAGTGTACCTGCGATTGGAAAGAAAATAGTGAAAATATCAAAAAGAACAAGTTCGATGGGTGCCGAAGCTGGCGCCGATTGTATCCTTCTATTCAAATAATCCGCTGATGGAGTGATAGCCTCTGGAAGAGAGGTCCAGCTAATATTTTTTTGAATGGCTCGTGTATGAGTGTTAAACCGATAAGAAGGGTGTACTCTGGAAGCCAAGGGCCGTAAAGAGCGCTATGACTCATCGGAGTACTTCCAAACCCGAGGGCACAGTAACATTGCAGGAAACTGCATGGCTCATGCATTGGCTAAGCAGGACACCATTGAGTTCAATCTCCTCAGAGCAAGGCTATAGGAGTTCCTGTGACAACCTGTGGACTGTGCTGGATAGAACCGCGCTCACAGAAGCTTCTGCAGCTGGCTAAGCACCAACCATCGCTTTTATCAGGTGTCCTGATCGGGAAGTATACATTAGGAACCCTTAAGGTACGACTTAATTTCGTTTCGAAGCCCTGTTACCGTATTTGTTTGGAGGATTAAGAGGTGGAATCATTTGAGCATTTTTTTCTCAGTTGCCCTGCTTACGCAAGATTATGGATTAAATATCTTGGCAAGAGTTCCAGCAACACTCCCGAGGAGTGAACATAAGCTGCCTGCGGAATTTTATTTTAAACGCACACCGCTTAACAATTTCCTAAGGATTATCCTGCTACCAGAAAAAAGCGTGTTTACGCATTTAAGTTGCCCTAAGGACCACTCCAAACAAAGCGCTAGAGGTGTTAACGAATTTGCCCGCAATAAACCTGGTGGGAAAATACATGAACGCCGCTGCGGCGCTCAGACTAAAAAGTATGGTGCGGTTCGGCCACGCTTAAATACTGCACACTCTGGGTAGTTACAACCAAGAAGTTGACTACTCCGTCTTTAAGCCCACCTGCTATAGGCGCTTTAAAACGAGCATCCCGTCAAGAAGAGAATGGCATACAGCAAGGCAATGAACGCGGTAGTACTAAGATGGAGGGTTGCATACGAATGCTTCGCAAGGTCAGCCAAATATGCAGCAGAGAGTTGGTTATTTTAACCGACTGCCACAGCAACCTAACCTAATCTATATGGCAGCTTAAGTTCGTGTTTTTTCCTTTCACCAACTCTTCTGTTTAGATCACCGCCGTTTGAGTGCGAAGTGGTCAACCCGGATATAAGAAGAAGAATAAAAGGTCAAGAAAGATTATATGATAATAAATGGACCTTTGGCTGCTCCAAGCTGGGCTTTACGAAAAGTGGAAAATTCCTGGCGCCGTGCTAGCTTATGCAATTTAGCAACCTGTCTGAGTATTTCCCTGGCGCTTCCAGAATTAAAACGGTTGAGCTGAACATCATTCGCGGAGAACAATTCTTTATTGGCTGATACCGTCTGAACTTATACCAGTACATTAAAAGTCATCTCACAGATCCTTATGTGGAGCCGTATTGAATGAAGTTGTCCCATAAATGTTGTCATCGAGATGATGTGAAAATGTCCTGCGCAGCAGTAATCAATTCTTCATATGCTCACTCAAATCTCATCTCTCTTTAGTCCAATCCTTATAAAATAGCCCACTTTATGCGCTTAATGGACTCAATGAACTAATCTGCTACAGCAACAAATTTCTTCTCATACCAACTGCATCAGCTGTTTTCCGAAAGGTAATAGGTGTCGAAAAGTGTCGAAACGCCTTCCGCCCTGAGGGAATCCATATGAAACTAAACGAACCTACCATTCCTGAAAGAGCCGATAATGGGGCAAAGTACTATGTGATCACGATCAGAGTAGGGGTTCGAAATTAAAATTACGCTTTTTGAATCCTGATCCTTACGAATGGTACTTTTTAGTTTTTGCTCTAGACACTGTTAGCTTTGGGACGCCAAACTAAAGCGATCTGCCTGCTTTAGATAAAACAAAGTTGAATGGTGAAGCAGAGCTGGTAAATATAGGAGCATCTGCACGATTTGTCCATGAACATTAAGATAATAGATTTGTTCCACTGGCTACTTGTAGAAAAGCTCGAGCAAAGTTCAAACTGTGAGCGTATATCAAATAAACTCTAAAGCTTACTTGTGGAACGCGTATGTATAACTCGAAGTGACTTCAAGTAGCTTGTGGAACAAGCCTAATATTCAGCCTCATTGCGTAAGTCGTAAATTAGGCTGAATTGTACGACTCGACAACATTAGCATTGTCTACTGTCGTGCTGAAATAAGTAAACGACGAAAATTGTGGAAAACTATGCAGTGCTGCCAAGTTCTTCCGTTTTAATACACTAGTCGAGTGGAAGTTTTAGGCAATGACGCTAAATTTTCGATACGATTCAACTCTCGAAAAACGACTTGCATTCNTTGACTCGAAGAACTCTCGCAGACTGGCTGAAATGAAAGGCTTTATGACACCAACAAGATCTTGATGGGCTTCCAAAACGTTACTACATATCGAGCCCTTACCGTAAAAATAATGTAAGCAGTTAAGGCTCGATATATATACATAATTAATTTATAATGTGATTCCTACTTGCTACCTCGCCTGCTTACCCCAACGCTTCTTGTGGCCGGCAATGCGCTTATTGTGCGGTTTCAATGCCGATTTATTATATTTTGTTGTCGTTTGTATTGTGGTTGTTGTTGTCGTAGTGCCATTTGTTGGCGATTCCTTGCCGCTTGTCTGACCATTCTGTTGATTTTTGTGTATGAAATTTGAATTGAAAAGATTCGATAGTGTGTTACTAAGTATTTCATGTTGTGTATCGAAATTGTCCAGCGATGTGGAGAATTCCGCTACCGGCGCCAATGAACCGGTAGAACCAGGTGGCGCAATATTAAAGCCTTTCATAAGCCGGCGCTCCTTTTGACGGTTCTTCTTGCCACCACCACCTGTATGAGAAAAGAAAAAGAGAGAGAAAGCAAAAATTAATTTGTGCACTTAAAACAGTAAAAGTCTCCGCTCACCGCCTTGTCCCGCAGAAACGTTGGTATCCATGCCACTATTCTTCAAAATTTCCACTAATTCGCAACGGAATGCCGATATATCCTGTTTGATTTCGTTCACGTCATCTTCGGTGACACCCTGCGACTCGGCCTTGCGTTGCTCCACGGTCACATACCGACGCACTAAATTGCGCATTATTTGCTGGCATGGTTAAGCAATTAAATTATTTTTTAGTAAGTCAAACTTTAATATACGTCACTATATATATATTACCTGATATTTGAAATCGCGATCACTCGCCTGCTGCGCTTTACGCTATTTAGAAGATGAAGAGAGTATAGCTGTGCTATTTTTCTCACAATATAAAATAGGTATTTCTCACTCACCCGTATTGTCTTTAAATGCTCACGTCTGGCAGCCGAAGAGCCACTGCAAAATACTCTACGCGCCCACTTGAACACATACCATATGGATTTTGGAGTTGGTATAATATTGAATGGTGGTGGGCAGGTGCCACCTTCCTCAAAGTAACTTATCCACAATTTGGAACGCGCAAATTTCCATTCAACATCAGCACGCTCCTGAAAATTTAAGTAACAGTAACAGGAGTTGAAGCTCGGTTTGCTTAAGAGTAAAAAGTACAAATCAGTTATCGCCTGAGTAACAACTACGCATCGTTTTAGTACCATAAATCTCGCGCGGGTTCTAACCGGACAATATCCAGTTAGAATCGCTACTAACCGCGTATTTTAAGGTCTGGGTTTTCCTAATAGGTCGCTCTGATTTGGGTTGAGATCCCACTGCAGATTGAGGGTATTGTGGAACCCTCTTTCACTAACTCACAAGCATTCTCATTTCCGGCAATATCGCGATAGCCAAATTAAGTCTTCTTCAAACTAACGACATTGTGCGACAATTTTATGAAAGTATACATATCCAGTAATAAAACAGCGTCGACGGCTATACAGATGGTTCCAAGTCATCAGTAGTGACAGAAACAGTAGAATATCTTCTGTGCGGTTGTTCTGCCTTCTTTAGTGCTCAAATTCTAACAAAATTACGCCCGCGGAAAACTACCGACAAGCTATGCCTTTTTGCTCTCTCATGCTCTCTTTTTAGATTTAATGGAAAGTTGCGAACACTCATCTCACCCACCAAACAATCAAAGGTGCTAATAATAACTACCGTGCAATGGTTTAAGTCAGGTTCTCTTGACTCGACGTATGAACAGATTTCTGATTAGATTTATATCGGTACACATTGGCCTCGCAAATTCAAAAAAGGTTAGGTTAGAAGATATTCCAGTAGACTTCGGGCGCCTGGACTACACATTCCCGCCTACTGGACTAAAGAAACCCTCAAGGGGTGTATGAGAGGATGATGGCTCCAAGTTGGAAGTGAGGGTAGAAAGTGGGTTATACCCGCAAGAACTATCACTTAGCCTTAGTTTTCGTCTACCAGATATCTGTAGCGTTTTTCAAGCTGAAGCGATGCTGCAAGGTGGCTGATCGATTCTCTTTTTAGTTTGCATGCGGCAACTATCTTTTCTGATAGCCAGGCAGCTATTAAAGTAGTTAACTATGACAAATGTACATCGAAGATTGATAATGAAACGTAGACGTACTCCAAACGAGCTGACAAGGAGTTAGGTACCTAATGTTGCATGGGTGCCAGGCCATAACGATATACCGGGCAACTGTGTTCCGGATAAACTGGAAGGGACATGAACCTTACTGTCTGCAATGAGTATCACTCGTAATGCGGGTATTTCGCTATCTTGCTGCAAACTCTGGCTGGAAAATAATTTTATCGAACGGAAAAATACGAGGTGGGTGCAGGATAGCAAAATATATGTATCTGGAGTAAATTGGATAAGCGTAGATCTCGCCCTCTCCTTAGCTTGGCGCGACCACTGCTCCGAAAGGTAATCGCATTTCTCACCGGGTACTGCCTGAAGGGAACCCACGCGGATAGAATGGATTTGCAGCCAAACGACTACGCTCATATCTGCCGTGATGAGGAGGAAATCTGTCCCGCTTTGTCGACGCTCGTTCCTCCACTATTCTTTTGTCGGACTGAACTGGATTATAGCCAGTATTTACGACTTTTTGCGCTTCATCAGAACTACGAATTGGTTCCATTTCCATTTCCATGTCTCTAATATGGCATCACATGGTTGCCTAAGTGTGCCCTTTTCCTGTGCGGGATGAGGACAGCCAAGATAACCTAACCTAAGCTACTTAATTCCATCTAAGCTTAGTACTTAATTCCATCGCAAGCTGTACGTGTATACATGTTTCAGAGGCACCAACAGTACTTACCGATATAAGTTGATATGAATGATTCATCATAGCAATAAGTAGATTCAGCAGCACCACAATGTTGATAACGGAATATGTGCCAAACATTAGCATGCCCCAGAAACGTGTGAAAATCTTAATGCCATCCAACTCAAAGCTATCCAAATCGATTAGACCAAAAACAGCCCAGAAAAGTGTCTGTGTGGTTTCGAAGAGGCTGAAAATGCAAGAGAACAGGATTAGGATAATTAACGAATCAAAATTTTGAAAGCTTTAAACGCTTACTTCGAAAAGCGCCGCCAAACGATGCAAGCATTCGGATCTGTGGTTCCGTTCATGGTGATAAGTACATTCGAGGGCGAAACTTCAGGGCACCGTTTCTTCTCCAAATCTGCGTAGTACCTATGTATTTTGGTTGGATGAATAAATTAGTTATATCCAACTTCATTTCAGCTTTTATTTACACTTTTCACTCACCACAACAATTGATTCAGACCACTGCCGAAGGCGAATAGCACGAGTACGTACAAAAAGAAAAACTTCATGATATCCATAACCATACGCGACAGGGACACTTGCAGTGGTCCCAAATGTGGATTCACCGAAAAGATGTATACCAATTTGAGGCTACTGAAAATGTTTGCCGCACTAAAGAGTCCTTCCGAAATGAGCATTGGATCCCATGTGTCCCAACGCTCACGCGGCAAATCAGTGGCATGCGGATTAATGATCATTTCTTTTTGCACCTATGGGAAAAGCGTGGGAGAAAAATAATTTTTAGAAAGAGTTAATAAATACATATATGCAGAAGATAGAAAACTTTTTAGTTAAAGCTAAAAATAACCACCTGAAAGAAAGACACCACACGTAATGCCACTGTGGCCACATAGAGTGAATTCGTTACGAAATCGATGACATTCCACATATCGTTGAGATACTCTTGCAGACCAACATCCCACAGCTGCTTGACCTCGCTCCAAATTAGACCTGAAGTGGAATATTTTTTAAGAAATGAATAAAACAGGACCACAACAACAAAATCGATGAAAAGTTCCTTCCAGCAATAAGTTTTTTTTTTAATTAAATAAAAATGAGGAAAATAATAAAAATAAATAAAAAGGAAATTAAATAAAAAAAAGGGAAAATAAAGCAAACAGATATAAAAATATTTTTAAAAATTTTATGAAATTAAAATAATTTTTTACCTCTTAAAAAAATACAATAAAAAAAAAATAACCAGATAAAAATTAAATCAGAAAAGAAGAAAATAGTACTTAAAAATTAAATAAAAAAATTCGTTTTCAAAACGAAATCTAAAAATAAAATTAAGAAAAGGCAAATACAAAAACAAAAGAAATATATTCATATTTTTAAAACAATAAAATCTAAGAATTAAAAGAAAATTAAATTAGCAAAAGAAAAAAATAATAAACTAGAAAAAATAAATATAATAAGGTTCTAAAAAATAAAAGAAATTGAAAAAATATGTTTATTTTTTAAACAATAAAATCTAAAAATAAAAGAAAGTTAAAGAAAAAAATATTAATTTAAAAACATATTCTTCCTTGAACAAAAATCATCTAAACATTAAAGAAAATTTAATCAAGAAAGAAAAATACTAAATTAAAAAACAAACAAAAAATACATAAAATACGTTTCTACAAATTAAATGTAATTAAAAAATATATATTTTTCTTTCTTAAACAATAAGATCTAAAACTTAAAACAAAATTAAATTAAATAAGCAAAAAATGAAAAAAAAAATTAAAACAAATTTAAAAAGATATACAAAAATTCCGCTGTCCGAAAACTCGAAAACGGATCTCTCGAATAGCGGGCCTGTGCTTTGCTCACTCGGCAATCCGAGTGGTGGAGAGACGCGAGATGAATGATATATAAGTGCTTTCTCTAAAAATAGCTTTTCGTCACAAATAGCTTTTCAGCAGTAGTCCGCCAACATATGACCATTCCAAACGCCCAGATATCTCTTTTAACTTCCTTCTAAATCCTTGTGGCGTTTTTCGCTCTTCACTAAAATAACCCCAAACAGGAATGGGGTGGATCCAATATGGTGCAATGTTTTTAAAATAATTGCTGTATTTCCATTTCAAATTCGTTAACAGCCGCCTCAAAAACTTATATAAATAAATAGGTACTAAATTTTATGAGATCGCCTCATTGAGTCCGCCATTTTAAATTTTGAAAATGACTGACTTTCATCGATTTTATTTGTGTGCTTCTGTGTAATTGATTGCGCGAACTTGTACGGGTAGAGAATTGTCTAAACTTACCGCTAACCCAGGCCAATATCAGCCATTCGATAAACGTCGGTTTCGCGCCACGCTTTGTAGGCACCTCCTCCACTTGTGCGATGATGTTGTTCGTATCGCTCCAAAACCAGCCACCAATGAATGTTTCGATGCGTTGTGAAGCGAGCATCAGTAGAACTGTTTGAAACAGAAGGAAAATTTTGGAATTGGTAGTATAGTGATAAGGTATTTGGAACTTACATAGAAATGTAAAGTAGGAGGCACTGTGGCATATGAATTTGATAAATGGTTTACGCATAGTCTGTCCAATACTGGAGTAGGGTGCCAAAATGTAGGCCCACGAGAAGATGGGAAACATTATGCCTGTTAGGAATACAAAAATATTTATGCGTATTTAGAAAAATGATTTAAGGCCTTAGGCTTTATTGCTACAATTACTAAGTACCAACTTTATTATCGCAACTCACCAATTCTTATAATATCCAACGCCTGCAGAGCCATATTTTTACGCCGAAATCCCGGTAGACCCTCATACCAAATACTGGCTAAAAGTTGTTGAACATTTGAGTGTGCCACAAATTTTTTCTGACGCAACTTTATAGCCAATTTCAAACGATTCAAATGCATACGTTCGCCATGTTCATAGATTGGACCGGTGGGATCGTGATTTAATAGGATTTCCAATTCGTGTGAGGTGCGTGTATGATCAAGCAAAGCGGTGGCAAAGTCTTGGCATTGTTTGCGCAATTCCTGATATTCATTCTGAAAGAGCAAAGTTTCATTACTACAAAAAAAAGAAAGGACACAATTTCGTAAGCCAGCCGATTGGTTGCGCTGCCTATGCGCTTCAAGGACATGGAGTTCAAAACGACCACAAATTGCTTTTTTGCTTGTAGATATTAAAAAGCTACGCACCTTAAATTCGTGTTCGAGGAAACTTAAACGTCTCAATTCCCAGGATAATTCAAATGCAGTTAAAATAGGATCCTTCGACGACAATGCAATGAGGCTTGGACTGGCCAGTGCACGATAGGCGTTGATGCGAGAACGTGAGTGTCGCAGTGAATCTTCTTGGCGTGATTGAACACATTCGTCACAGCCGCATCTGAAATGAAATGCGGAGGCCTGAATGAGTACTTGGTTTCCTATACTTCTACCTCACCGCTTATTAGACTTAAAGAATAATCGAATGTCCAACGTTAACGAAAGCACAATGGTCCCAACACAATTTACCCAGACTAATTGCATTTGCCGCGGGGATTACATTTGCCGCAGAGAATATTTGTAAAGGTAATTCTGTATTCCGCTAATAAGTGTGTAGTGCCAGAAGCATTATTTACGACTGCCAGAATACGGCACTCCGGACCGCGACTAGACTAGAATTCTGATGTCGCCACAATACCTCCTGCACGACGAGACCCAGATACTTTCCATTAGGGAGCATAACACAATGCTCTGCAAGCCAAGTTCCTAGTAGGCTGCCATAGACACGGGCACCCGAACAGACAACTGCTTGCAGAAGAGCCCTCGCCAACATACGACGGAACAAGTCCAGAGGTTTATAAAACAACCAATGGAACCAACTGCATACCTACTGGCATTCACAGAAAGTAGGTCTCGAGTTACATAGACTGTCAACCTTTGAATACCGCTTTGGGCACACAACCCAACCACCCGACGTGGATGGGACAGAACCTTGTCTGGTTCGGGAGACCCGCACCAACTTCGCTCTGGATATTGCAACAGGCTAAACTCGTACCTGAGCAGAGTGAACGAAGATCTGCCCACCAGTGCCCGGCATGCGGAGAGTCGCCACGGCACCATGACGTAATCCATGGGAAAACAATTTTAGCCGGGTGCGACGTAACAGATCATAGGTTCTACCTTCTGGTCAACTGGCGTCAATAAGGAACGCCAAGTGAAGCCAAGTCACTCTTCATAGGAAATTTTTAACACCCCTCCGTCATTGATGTTGGGTATCATATCGAAAAGTGCCAGAGCTGGAGCACACCCATCCATGGCCCAGCCAGCGTAGGTGTTGTCACCTAATTCACTGTACTATGTCGACGTTGCTGTTAACCTTATACATCTAATCGGTTTCGGTACTCGCCGATTTTTCTATTTATTTTCGTGAAGACAGAACCAACGGCGCGCTTATTGAGGTACGCCAGTCGCGCCAGTGTAGATTCCTATAAAAAATTTTATCTGAGCGCTTCAGTTTAACATATATTCTGTTAGATATAGGTCCATTATCAAGTATGAGCGGTCTGATCGTAGAATCCTCCCCAGTGAAAAAAACACAAGACAGCCGAGGAGATATGAGTCTGGGTTACTGATTGTATATTTAAGGAAAGTGTTATTAGAAAAAAATTGTATGTAGATCGGATCAGTATTTGAACCTGAATTCTTTCGGACTTAAACCACATTACTGGAGATCAAATATGTATGTGGTTTCATATCAAAGGCTTTGGTAATCATCTTACTTAGGATATTGATCCTACAACAGCTTACAGTAGATGATAGTACCAGAAAAAAAATAAATGTTTTTATATAAAGTGTGTCTGCTACATACCTTACATCATGCGGCATTGGCAGTACGGCTCCGCGATCTAATAATATTTTGATTATTTCATAGTTATCACGATGTGCCGCCAAAATAAGTGGCGTAATATCGGGTGTGAATGTTGAAGTGTCCTCCGATTGGGATTCCCAGCTCTATGAATGAAAAAATTTTCAAAATAAACATACATACAAACGACTACATATAAGAGCAAATCTCACGAGTTGTGTTTTTTTTTAATTGTCACTTACGTCTCTCGCCAGAAAATGCGCTAAAAAAGAATTTCTTGCATTTATTTCAATAAATGGAGTTGCAGAAATAAGTTAAAAAAATAAATAATGAACTATGAAACAGTTTTTTTAGCCTCAAAACGTTTATTTTGGCAAAAAAGTACCGAAATTACTAATTTTTTTTATTGCCACTCAAAATGTCATAGTTTTCTTTTTTAATAACTTTGAAAAGTTTTCATATAGAATGTTCATATTAGAGGCAAGGAAAGCTGGCATCAAATAAAACATATATGCGAAGTTTAAAAAGTGTGCCACCAAATTTAAAAAATGGCTGCAGCTATTTTGTGATTTTTGAAATTTAACGATTTTTTCATTTTAAAAGTTTAAAATGCTTCAAAATATTAAGATTTAACGGCGAAAATATTGTTTTTGTCAAAGCGAAAAATTTTAAAGTAATAAAACTAGTGTGCGACCAAATGAAAACGAGTTAAATTGATTATAAGATGACGATGATTTTCGTAGCGAAAATTCCAAATTTTAAAATTTTTATTGGCGCACTCGAAATGCGTTTTAACATTGTTGTATATATGAAGAAATTAATCTATGTATATATTCCTGCAGAATACGGCGTGCAAATATTCCATGGCAATATTTAATTATTTTTAAATAATATCACTTTTAAGTTAAGGCGTGCGAGTAAGCGTATTAGCACGCTGTATATGGTGCTACGGGTGGTATACGTTACATACACAACTACGGGTATATGAGCACGAGCTGTTTTTTTGGCTTTGTTTAGATATCGTTTTTAAGTTTTATTTTTTTTATTTCGAAATTGTAGTCAAAATTAAATCTTATTCTTTATGCAAAAATGAAGATAATGCACTATCCAAGGTACATAAGTGTGCCGCCATTTTTGCCAAAAAAACACGTTCGTTTTTTTTTAAATGTTACAACTCGTGAGATTTGCTCATATGTACAAGCATATTGAAATAATCTAAATCTGTAATTACACCTACATGATTTCCCTCCGTATGAAAAGTGACATTCTCGTGATCCAACAGCACTTCCACAGCTTCCACGAACTCCTCCGATATTGAGTGCAACAGCGCATCCTTGGTGTCAACATTATAACTGATGAGTAGTTCGACCATTTCCAAATTCTCATTATCGATGGCCATGAGGAGAGCAGTGCGTCCCAATGGATCCACACAATTGACATTGATGTAATCAGTGTCCTGTGCCTTTTGTAGCATTCTAAAAATGTAAAAACCAAAAACAAAAAAAAAATAAAAATAACAAATTCATTGAGTTGCAACCGGAAAATTTGTGCAGCAAATGTGAGGGCCACCAGACGGAAGATGTGATGTACGAGCATTGAAATTCAGGTTAAATATAAGTAAATGTGGATCAGGTACACATTTACATATGTACATACCTACATAGGTATGTAGGTAAATGAGTAAATCGACTAACCTTCGCGTACCCGCCATATCACCACGCTCCACCGCCAATAGAAACTTCTTCTCCTCCAAGGTTAACTGGCGTATCTCCTGATGCGGCCGCACTATGTTCTCCTCCTCCATCATGCCGTGTATGCTGTGACGCTGTGTGACGAGTAACGCAGATTTATGGTTAGTCAATTGTTCAAGGCCAAACACGAATGCAACATACACATAGTTTTATAAAAAAATAAACATACAAAAATGTATGTATGTATACTAGGGTGGTCCGAAAATGCATGTGGAAAAGTAAAGTCGGAATTTTACCCTGCTTTCTTTATTAGAGTTTTCCGATCGAAAAATAATTATACACCATTTATTTCCCCATTTGAAATATGCATATTTATACTATGAGCGACCGCAAAAAATTAAATTAAAAAAAGCAATTAAAAAAAAAAAACAGGCGTATACTTATTTGCTCGGTATAGAACAATTCTAAAGGGTGAGAGCATTAAAATTCCGACATTACTTTTTTTTTAACCACCCTAATGTATACACACATATTTTNAAAAAAAAAAAACAGGCGTATACTTATTTGCTCGGTATAGAACAATCCTAAAGGGTGAGAGCATTAAAATTCCGACCTTACTTTTTTTTTTACCACCCTAATGTTTACACACATATTTCTATATTTATTTGTCTTTAATGATTAACAGCTGTATGTAAACGCTCTTGCACGCGCTTTGAAGTTTTTTTTTTCGCACATGTTTCCAATTTGTTTGATGCATACATACATATGTACATACGTATGTATGTATGTATGTATGTTGCTTAAATACATATTGCGTGCACGCACTCGCACTCACCTTGACCTTTTTAGCCGGTTCAATTTGCACGGTCACGTGACTGTTGCTGTTGTCATTACCGCCACCGCCCAAAAGGCCGCCAACTCCACCGTTGCCTCCACCAACGCCACTGCCGTTGATCCTCTTCTCACCATCCAGTGCATCTGTACCGTTTTTGATTTTGCTTAAAATTGGCGCTAGCACTGATTTTCTACGCGCCGGACTCACAAAATGCAACTTTTTTCCTTCGTCTGTGGAGATAAAATGAAAGAACAAAAAAAAAAAAGAAAAAATAAATTGCTTTATAAATTTTAAATCCTCTTTTACGAGTATTTTTACTGTATTTTATTGCCATGAATGCATAAAGGTTAGTAAAAAAGTTAGAGATGCAGCATTAAGCCATGACAATGCTTTTAATTTATTATTTCAACATTCGTGCATAGGATCGTTTTGTTTTTTTTTTTCGTTTTACAATTTATTGGGAAAGTTCAGGGTTAGGTACTCTTTTTAGCCATCTGATGGTTAGTTTAGGTTAGGTTAACGGGTTCTCCACAGCAATCGAAAATCTGCCATCTACTGTTTCGTTTCAAAAATTTAACGATCGCTAGAAATAAAAGAATTTGGGGTTTAGTAGCATTACAAGATACTCTATAGGGGCTTTCAACAATGTCCTCGCGTATGCGAATGCCTCAGCTCGGACGTACTTGCGGATGGATAAAGCTCTGGTTAGGCTTATCCACCAATTGCTTACCAGTAGGTTGGTGAGCTCGGAACTGGGAGGGGCTAGGCTCATCCACCAATTGCCTATCAGCAGAGGGTGAGGCGACTCGCAGAGCTTCAAATAGTACAATGGAGTGCGGAGCCATGCATAAGCGGAGCTCTAGGCTGTTCCCTATGGAAGCTCTGAACGCGATTTTACATCTGCAACACCTTCCTGTTCGAAGGTGAACCGGAGGAGGTCAAAGGATCTCTTTAGGTTTCAAAAAGCCCAACTCAACCGTCAAATCAAATACAACACTATACCCTTACTCTGGCACTGGCTACTTGGAAGATGATGAGGTAGAATCATTGCAACTTTTTCTCTCAAGCGGTTCTGCTTTTGCGACGCTGCGCATTTTGTTATTTTATGAAGCTTTTTGAATCTATGTTTTTTTTTAACGATTAAGGCCTATTATATATGTATTTAAGTATGCCTATCAATAATACATATGTTAAGTTAGTTCACTTTGAAAGTTAGTATTTTAGTTATTATGGTTTGGTACTTTATGGTTTGAATTATAGCAACATACATAAATAATAAAATATCTACTGTTTTTTTCTTGCATACTTTACCAGAACTAATAGAAAGCTCCGCGATGTATTGAGTGCGGGAAAATGTGTGGGTAGATAAATTGTGTTTGTATGTATGCCGATAAGATGTAATTTTGTGTATTAGGGGCATATATTACTTTTTATGTGCCTTTTAGATATCTGTTGAAATAAAAAAAAATATTAAAAAGTGAATAAGTAATCAAATGATATATGAATGGCAATGATAAATAAATAGTAAGTTCAAAAAGGGGTAATTAGGGAAAGTAATTTTTTTTTATTATATGTAATTTGTATAAGCGCGAATAATTTGTATAAGGGTACGTTCACACAGAAAGTGGGGCTGAGCCGAGCGAAGCCGTTCCGAGCTGAGTGAAGTTTTCAAATTGCTATAGCTATGTGAATGCGTTCATACAGCAAGCTTTTTCCGAAGCTTTTTGGCGCTGAAAGCAAAGCAGTTTTTGATTTTGAAATTTCTATTTAATTTTTCAGCTTCATGACGCTTTTCTGCAAACAAGATATCGAAATATTCAAATAAAAACGAATTTTACAACTAATCTTTTGAATAAAATTGAGCAAATATTTTTGCCGCTTTTCATTGACAGGAAATTTTATGGTATCTTTGCAGTCGAGTCCATGAGAAAAGCTCCGCTTCGCTTCTTTCAGTGCGCACACTAACAGCTTCGCTTTGTTCCGCCGCCGCTCGGCTTTCTGTGTGAACACACCTTAAGTCTTCAAATATTTACCAATACAGAAATTTCATAACGAATATTTGTAAATTCGAAAGGGAAACGTTTTTTCATTAAGAGTCCAACTTAAAGTTATTTCATTGATTTACTAGCAAATATTCAGTGTAGTTCAATTAAAAAAATCATTTTTCACTTAAATTGCTTTGCTTAAATTGGCTGTTACTTAATATTGCTTTGAAGGTATTTATAAATTAGGCAGATTTTTTAATATTGCCAAAAATTTAGTTTCAGGTTTTAATGGAAGATAAATATATGGTATTTGAATAATTTTTTGCGCACAGTACCAAAAACGACAAATATTGAACTAATGCACCTTTGAAGAAAGTGCTTGATGTCTAGAATTGAGCCATAAGATAATAAATTGATTTTCCGAAATACTTTTCATTTGGTACCAATCTTGTAATGTTTAATTTAATTTCAATATTTTAATGTTTTACTATTTAAATTGGTGACAAGTAAATAGTATAAAATATTTATAAATCAAAGATTACTAAGTTTATCTTATCAATTTAATTGAATTAAATTTTTCAATTAGGTAGCAAACCACCTCAAAAATATTTTCGCCAGCAAACTTTCTTAAACCGCTTTAGTTTGATACCAACATAATAATATTTACTTTATCTTATCAATTAAATTAAATTAAATTTTTCGAAACAGTTGGCAACCCCCTTCAAAATCATTTTTGACTATAACCCTTCTTAAACATTTTTAGTTTTTGTACCCGTAATGAAATATTTAATTACTCTTATCATTTTAATTAGAATCCATTTTTAAAACAGGTGGCAACCCGCATAAAAAATATGTTCGGCAGTAAACTTTATAAACTCTTCAGTTTGACACCCATAATGTAATATTTAATTTATTTTATCAATTAAATTAAAGTAAGTACACAAATATATGACAATCCTCCTTGGATATATTTTCGGTTGTAAGCATTATTCAATTTCTTTCTTTTGATACCCATTCTGCAATATTTACGTTATGTTTTAAATTTACTTAGACTGAAATTTTCAAACTGATGGCAACTCTTTATTTTCTTTATCCATCTGGGTATTATTTCGATAAACTGTCATATATCTTCCAATTGAATGAACCGATGGTAACAAACTGTATATGTATAACACAACCTTCTCTGTGTACTTCCCTGCAACTTCCGTTAAATCGGTTCAGTAGTTTTTACGTGATACGCGCACGAAAAAACGGCAAAAGGTTTATTATACATACATACATATATTTATACTCCTATATGGATATGCAGTCAGCGTAAAAAATATGCATACCCTAACATTTTGACGATTTGAATTATTTATATTTTCCATACCAAATTTTTCTTATTTTGTTATTAAAAATTTTCATCGAAATTTAAAATTTTTCAATTAAATTTTTTAATAGCCTATTGAAACTTGCACTAAAATTTAATGGCCTACAAAACTGCATACTCAAAATTTTTCTATGAAATCGAATTGAAAAATTTAAAATTTCCATGAAAATTTTAATGAAAAAATACGAAAAAAATTTGGTATGGTAAATATAAATAAATAAAATCGTCAAATTGAAAAATTTTAAACTTCGAGGTATTTATTGCATTTTCCTAAGTTCGGTACGAAATTAAAAAATTGATTTTTGTAGTTTACGCTGTCGAATGAATTCTATTTTTAAACAAAACTAAGAAAAAGGTGCTATGGAAAATATAAATAAATAAAATCGTCAATACGTCTGGGTATGCATATTTTTGACGCTGACTGTAGATTTATAAAATAAATTTATAATTTATAATTTATAATTTTATAATTAATAGTTTTCGGTTGAATTTATGTTCGGGCGAAACTCAGGATAAGGCTGGCTATTTCCAGAAACTAATATCAGCGAAAAATTCTTCAAATAAATTTGCATACATATATGTATGTATAAACATATGTATGTATGTGTGAACAACTTTTACCTTGATGTGTTGTTCAAAACAAATTTATTTTGATACTTTAAAGAGATTTTAACTTGTTATGCATTTCATATGAGTGTGCATGGCGTAACTAAGAGCAGTCCGAAGGTTTTCATATATATGAAAATTGTGATTAACTTTGTTGGGGGGTACGATTGTCAACAAACATACTAATACAATTAATAGAGTATTTGCACATTAACATACATATGTACATACACACCTACATCCATCATGTCAATAAATCAAAATAGCTGCATATAAATACAATCAAATGATTGAAAAGAGTAATTTATGCAGTCATACTATTTTCACATACATAATAATTTCACATATACGCATGTACATATGTACGTACATATGTATGTATGAATGCAAACATATTTCAAATGAATGCATACAAGGTATGTATGTACATATACATTTATATATGTATAAGAACTGTTGATAATATTTTGCACTATCGTCAATACAACACCCCAACGCAGCAAAGTTTGAAAATCTGGGTCAATTGTTGCATTCTTGTTTGTGTTCGTACGACTTTAGGTGGCAAGTGTGTGTGTGCCAGTTTTTGGCATTTAATTTGAAATGACATTGAGTCGGTTACTCGTTGTATGCGGTACAATGCCAAAATGACCTTTGACTTTAACGTCTTTTTAATGCGCGCATGTGTGAGAGTGTGTAGAAAGGCATAAAAAAAAAAAAAAAAAAAAGCAAAACACTTCATACATACAAGTATCATTTGAGCTCATGAAGAAGGTGAAGCAGATGAATGAACGTCACTTAATTGAGTTAGCAACTATGCAATATTTTGTTAAAAAAGTAAGCCAGGAAAAACAAGGATAAGTGGCAGATGTTTCATTATAAGTTAACGAGGATACGAAAGATTACGATAGCAGATGGGATAGAGGGCATGCTTTATTTAACCTGGCCTATACTCCCGATATACACCAAGAAAGTAATATATATGCCACGCCAATATTTAATTATTTTTATTTTTAGAGTCCGGCCGATTAATCGGCATCGGCATCGGCTAGTATCGGCACAAAATTGGGCATCGGCATCGGCATCGGCCTTTTTTCGCCGATTCTTTGGAAT